AATCATGTTCACTTTGTGTATGCAAATAATTTAACAAATCGATTTAAACAAGACATCTTTGTACCTCATTATATATGCTATGATCAAGAATGATGTGAATGGCTTCCGGCTACTATTTTGACTAATGGTTCAACTTATCGACGTACTTCTGAATTGAACATGGATACATCATCGATAGATTCATATAATTTTGTAAGCAATATTCTGACCTTATTTCGTAAATGTTCAATCACAAAGACTAGATATACTGAATGTCCAAAGTCAAAGTCATATCGTTGTGCAAATTCATCGGAATGTATTGCTTTGAATCGACTCGTTGACGGTTTTTTCGATTGTTTTCAAGGAGATGATGAAGAAATCACAAATAGTTGCTCTTTATCAGATATAGATTATTGTTATCGATGTTCTTCGGAGCACAAATATATTCCAATGACTAGAGCTAATACCAATCGACCAATTTGTATCGATGGAGAAGATGCAAAATTTGTACACGATACATCTCGACAAACTTTTCATTGATCATTTACAACACTTTGTGATGGCTTTGTCGATCGTTACACAATCGATAGACTTAATTATACAGATGGAATGGATTGTAAAGAATGGGCCTGTAACAATATATATACGCGATGTGATGGAAAATGGAATTGTCCGAATGCAGCTGATGAAGCGATTTGTTCTGCTAATCCATGCCATCCCGATGGTCATCTCTGCATGTCACCGCACAGTAACAATTTCACCTGTTTATCTCTTGCTCGAATTAATGATGGCCACATTGATTGTATAGGTGGCTACGATGAGCAATATCGTTGTGGAATTAAATTAGGATCCAATCTGGATAAAAATTATCGATGTTTCAATGAAACAAATTATATTCATATTTATCGAATGTGTGATTTAAACATAGATCACTGTTCTTCGAGCTATGATCGCGATCTATGGTGTATAAAAAAACTCAAATCCATCAGCTTTGACAAATAATATCACCTTACGTCAAAGACCACGAAATGCAAATGAAAAGTCTTATTGGATTCATCTATCTTCGAGCCTTAAAAGAGAGCCTTATGTCTATTTCACCTTGAACAATAATTTTGTCTATTCTTCTGTTGAGAGCATTACCAATCACAACAAGTCGAGCGCAATTACAACTGTACACAATTTTTATTCTAATCACAAAGCTAAGAAGTTCTGTTGTGAATATACAAACTCTTTGATAAGCCAGATTTGCAATCGTGGAGTTCCTGTCTATCAAAATAATTTAAATGAAACCTCCTGCTTATGTCCACCAGCCTATTTCGGACATCGATGTCAATATCAAAGTGAACGAGTTGGTGTCATATTACAATTTCGAGTAATTCAATGGCGAACAGTATTTACTTTTGTGATCATGCCTATTGACGGAAATACAACTATTCATTCGTCAGAACAAGTTGATTATTTGTCCGTACGTGATTGTCGAAAAAAATTTGATGTGTATCTTCTCTATTCATCCCGACCAAAACATATCAATCAAACATTTTATCTACGCATCGATATCTATGATAAAGACAAAATGGAATATTATTTCTCAATGTTCTATCTTATTCTATATTCATTCTTACCAGTACATCGTCTTTCATTACAAATCAATGTTTCAATGTTAGATGTTACAGCCAAATTGACGATATGTCCTTTGAAATGTCTACATGGAAGATGTCAACGTTTTCTAAATGTCGATCAATACTTCTGTCAATGTTCTGATGGCTATTCTGGAGCTTTATGTACAGTGAAGAATGCATGTTCCTGTTCATCGGATTCAATCTGTGTTGGAGTTGTCAACAATCGATCAATATGCATTTGTCCTCTTGATAAATTCGGACCGCGTTGATATCTAAAAAGAACAATATGCCTCTTCAACAACTGTTCGCATGATGGTTAATGTATTGCTCTTGATGTAAAGTATTCAGAAACAGAATATTTTTGTCTTTGCTCTCAAAGTTACATGGGCTTAAGATGTGATGATTCATTAAGAAAAATTAAATTTCATTTTGCTACAACAATAGCCATCCCACAATCTATTCTAATTCATTTTATTTATGTTCCATCGAAGCCCAACTCTAATTCTTCACTACCTCCTCCCGATCCAATACGAAGTACTCTTATTTCAAAATTAAAGTTTAACGAAAATTCTACTTTTTCTTATTATGGAGGAACATTTCATCTAATATTTGTAGAATTTCATCAAAATTATTATCTTGCACTACTTCAACATAATTCTACATTACCAATGCATATTTCAACGACAATTATGCCTGAAAATCGCTGTTCACCAATCAATGAACTATTTGATGATCATATTCAAATGTTACCACGATGGCATCGTGCTAAATATTATCATATTCCATGTCAAAAACATTCAAATCTCGTATGTTTCTATGATAATGATTATTTCATGTGTCTATGTGATATTGATCGGCATGCAAATTGTTTTAAATTCGATTATCGTCCTGTTGACAACTGCTTCGGTTATAATTATTGTGAAAATGATGCTCAATGTTATCTTGACAATATTACTTGTCCAATATCGTTTTCATGCGCATGCAAATAATGTTATTTTGGTCCTCGATGTCAGTTTACTACAATAGGATTCGGTCTATCACTCGATGATATTCTTGGTTATAGCATTTGGTCAAATGTTCCTTTCTGAAAACAATCAAACGCAGTAAAAATTAGTACACTATTGACGACTCTGATATTCATTATTGCAGTTCCCAATTTTGCTTTGTCTCTGATTACATTTCAAACAAAATGGTCACGTAGAGTTGGCGCTGGTATTTATCTACTTGCAGCATCAATTATATCTTTTATAGCAATTATAATATTTGGACTGAAATATTTATTTCTTCTCTTGTTGCAAATGGCAATTATTACCAATAATTCGTTTCTTTTGGTCAATTGTATTTGTACAGATTTTTATTTTTGAAAGTATTTTCATCGATTGGAGATTGGTTGACTGCTTGTGTCAATTTCGAACGCGTAATAACTATTCTACTTGGTGTTAAATTCAATAAAGCGAAAAGTAAAAAAAATTGCTAAAAGACTAATCCTTGATATAATTCTATTTACTTTGGCAAGTTTTATTCATGATCCTTTTCATCATCATTTACTTGAAGACACTGAAGAACAAAGAACATGGTGTGTAATTCGTTATTCATCATCTGTAAGAACTTATGCTTCATTTGTCAATATTTTTCATTTTATTTTACCGTTTTGTTTAAATTTCATTGCTGCTCTAGCGATTATTGTTTTAATAGCTCGAGAGAAATCGAAAAACTTGCCAAGAGTAGACATATAGAGAACTCCTATGTAATCAACTTCATCAACATAAACATCGCTTATTAAGCTCTTTAGTTTTAGTCATAGTTACCATTCCACGTCTTATTATTTCATTTGCATCTACATGTGTGAAATCAGTTCGACATCCTTGGCTTTTTATCGGTGGTTATTTCATTTCATTTATTCCACCATTACTTCTATTCGTAATCTTTGTTTTACCATCTGAACTTTATCGAAAAAAATTTAATGATGCTACCGTTCGTATTAGAAAGATTATTCGAAATCGATTTGATCTTCAATAATTATCAAAATGAAAATGCAGTAATCCTTTACATTTTCAAAATTCAATAACAAACCTTGCAAACATAATGCTATTGCTTTATTGTTCTTTTTTGTCTGTGTTCAATTTTAATTTAATTTAATTTTAAGAAAATAAACAGTGCTTCTCATGTTTGCATTAAATGCCTGTTTTTTATTCGAATCGGTGTGACTGTGAAAGGATTGCTGCCAAACACTCTTAATTGAATGTACCAGTACATTGTTAATGTGTGGTGATAGTTTAAAAAATCATATTAAAATGTGCCTTTCAATATTCTTCCACAGCACTAGTGAACACATTTTTGGAGTGTTCGATGTACATTTCAAATGAATTACGTTATGGTTTTTCGATTTTTTTTTATGTCGAATAGAAATAAATAATGTTAAATGTCAGTATATATTGATTATGACTTGACCATACCGATCTAATCAAGTGGAATAAACACCATGCCTGCATTAATACTATATAACGGAACATGCTTGTTCAAAACACAACAGTGAATTGGTAGGCAATCACTTCAATAGCAACGGTTCATCTCCACTACAAATATCATCTAGATATGTCAAGTGTTTCTAGAAGAGCCGATTAATAGCCGCTATTTGGAGATAGGATACCATTGAAATGGACCTGCCAACTCGAAAGAAAAAATAAAGGAAAGAAGAGACATTGTTTCAAGACAAATAAAGATGCAGCGTTCCTCCAATAAGCCAAGATAAATCTCAAAAGGTCATCGAGTGGTTGGTGCCACCACGAATTGTTAACCGGTTACTTGAAGACTTCTGGTAGGTTACGAATTACGCAGTAGTTAGATCGCATGAGAAGGTTTGGGCGGGTAAGTGCACGATACGAGTGTTATGCTGTATGTGTGAAATGTGGCTGCAGGTGTTAGGATGTCGGTATGGATATAGGTCTTTTCTTGTATAGTATCCACATCTACACCCAGGATAACAATTTCAANTTTTGTAAGCAATATTCTGACCTTATTTCGTAAATGTTCAATCACAAAGACTAGATATACTGAATGTCCAAAGTCAAAGTCATATCGTTGTGCAAATTCATCGGAATGTATTGCTTTGAATCGACTCGTTGACGGTTTTTTCGATTGTTTTCAAGGAGATGATGAAGAAATCCCAAATAGTTGCACTTTATCAGATATAGATTATTGTTATCGATGTTCTTCGGAGCACAAATATATTCCAATGACTAGAGCTAATACCAATCGACCAATTTGTATCGATGGAGAAGATGCAAAATTTGTACACGGTACATCTCGACAAACTTTTCATTGATCATTTACAACACTTTGTGATGGCTTTGTCGATCGTTACACAATCGATAGACTTAATTATACAGATGAAATGGATTGTAAAGAATGGGCCTGTAACAATATATATACGCGATGGGATGGAAAATGGAATTGTCCGAATGCAGCTGATGAAGCGATTTGTTCTGCTAATCCATGCTATCCCGATGGTCATCTCTGCATGTCACCGCACAGTAACAATTTCACCTGTTTATCTCTTGCTCGAATTAATGATGGCCATATTGATTGTATAGGTGGCTACGATGAGCAATATCGTTGTGGAATTAAATTAGGATCCAATCTGGATAAAAATTGTCGATGTTTCAATGAAACAAATTGTATTCATATTTATCGAATGTGTGATTTAAACATAGATCACTGTTCTTCGAGCTATGATCGCGATCTACGGTGTATAAAAAACTCAAATTCATCAGCTTTGACAAACAATATCACCTTACGTCAAAGACCACGAAATGCAAATGAAAAATCTTATTGGATTCATCTATCTTCGAGCCTTAGAAGAGAGCCTTATGTCTATTTCACCTTGAAAAATCATTTCGTCTATTCTTCTGTTGAGAGCATTACCAATCACAACAAGTCGAGCGCAATTACAACTGTACACAATTTTTATCCTAATCACAAAGCTAAGAAGTTCTGTTGTGAATATATAAACTCTTTGATAAGCCAGATTTGCAATCGTGGAGTTCCTGTCTATCAAAATAATTTAAATGAAACCTCCTGCTTATGTCCACCAGCCTATTTCAGACATCGATGTCAATATCAAAGTGAACGAGTTGGTGTCACATTACAATTTGGAGTAATTCAATGCCGAACAGTATTTACTTTTGTGATCATGCCTATTGACGGGAATACAACTATTCATTCGTCAGAACAAGTTGATTATTTGTCCGTACGTGATTGTCGAAAAAAATTTGACGTGTATCTTCTCTATTCATCCCGACCAAAACATATCAATCAAACATTTTATCTACGCATCGATATCTATGATAAAGACAAAATGGAATATTATTTCTCAATGTTCTATCTTATTCTATATTCATTCTTACCAGTACATCGTCTTTCATTACAAATCAATGTTTCAATGTTAGATGTTACAGCCAAATTGACGATATGTCCTCTGAAATGTCTACATGGAAGATGTCAACGTTTTCTAAATGTCGATCAATACTTCTGTCAATGTTCTGATGGCTATTCTGAAGCTTTGTGTACAGTGAAGAATGCATGTTCCTGTTCATCGGATTCAATCTGTGTTGGAGTTGTCAACAATCGATCAATATGCATTTGTCCTCTTGATAAATTCGGACCGCGTTGTTATCTAAAAAGAACAATATGCCTTTTCAACAACTGTTCGCATGATGGTCAATGTATTGCTCTTGATGTAAAGTATTCAGAAACAGAATATTTTTGTCTTTGTTCTCAAAGTTACATGGGCTTAAGATGTGATGATTCATTAAGAAAAATTGAATTTCATTTTGCTACAACAATAGCCATCCCACAATCGATTCTAATTCATTTTATTTATGTTCCATCGAAGCCCAACTCTAATTCTTCACTACCTCCTCCCGATCCAATACGAAGTACTCTTATTTCAAAATGGCTACTATTTAAGTGGTCAGTAGAATAAATGAAATGGTCAGTAAAATAAATAGATGGTCAGTAAAAAATGAATGATCAGTAAATTGAATGAACGATCAGTAAATTCTTTAAACGGTCAGTTATTGAAATGATTAAGTTTGTTGATATATTTAAAAATTAGTAAATTAAATTAAATGGTAAATATAAAAATCGAAATATGTATGAGGCAGAGATAGACATGATAAAGTGATATTAAAGTACCTTCAAATAGACATAATTATAACGATGTGAAACGGTCACAAATAATGCCAAAAAATGGTGTATATTGTAAGCATTATTTTAGAATTTTTAAAACCATTTTCACCGTTCGAAAAAAAGTCATTCTAATGGATCACGAAGGAGGCATTTTTGGGGCATTATTTGTGACCATTTTGTACCATTTTTTTTATTGAGATTCGAAGACATTTTAATGCTATTTTACCATTTTTATCCCTGCTTGGGTAATCCGTTGAAATGTTGCAAGGCACCACCTGCAGCAAAGCCAGTGCCGACCGGTGACAAGAAAAAGAGGCAGACCAGCAAAGGCTAAAACTGCTTTGCTAGTGCAGTAATTGAATTTTCTTTTTCTCTATTCATTCTTTGAATTTCTGTTTTATGTTCTGTCGAATTTCTTCTTATTTATTCTGTGGTTTTTTTAATTTATTTAAATTTCTTTTTCTTATACTAAGTTAATCTTTGTACGAGAAAACTTGTTTCTTCTACTGATAAAATTTGAATTTTTACTGACCAAATTTGAATTTGTTACTGATACTTATATATATATAAAAACTGACCACTTTAGTACTGATCATTTCAATATTTACACTGATAATTTGTATATTTTTTTACTGACCATTTCATTTATTTTACTGACCAAAAATTATGTTCCCTTTTTTATTCATTTAAATTTGAATCTACTCCTGAGTTAATTCACGAATAAGCTAAGTCCAAACTGACTACAAATTGACATCCCTAAAATTGTGAACAAAAAC